ACCTCAGGGGGGGTGGGGGGCGCGGTTTTGCTCTCCCTCTGGCGCCTCCGCGCTCAGCCCCTCGCGTCGAGCCGCGCTGCCGCCTGCCCAGACCCGCCAGCTCCTGTTAATGGTCTCGCTCCAACGCCCAGTATCTTCTCCGCCCGTTCGGCTCCGTGAGCTGGAGGTGAGCGGGTCCTCTTTTATCATTAAGACTCTCAAGTAATGCTTTCTTTCGGCTCGCAAATAAATCAAAGACGGCAGTAAAACAAGAAAAGAAAATAAATCTTCTGATTGATTGCGGACGGAACAGATTCTTTCAGCTCTTTGCTTTTCACGCCTGAGTTCAGCCATGGCACGTAGCGGTTTTGGCGCTTCCCGAGCAAGCTGCCCATGCTCTCATCCCAAACGTGACATCCAGCAGCCGTGAGGGTCCCACACAACCGACCCGACGCGGTACTTGTCAGGGCTGTCGGTCACTAGGAAATCCAGGCTGTTCTACCCAATCTGTCACTTGCCTTCTGAGATATTCTGAAGGATTTTGATGAGATTCTCCAGGCCAAAAATATAGCCGTGGTCTGGCCCGTCGTAAGCGGTGGGATTGCACTGGGAGCCTTTGAAAGTGGTGTGGGCAAAGTCTATCATCCGGACGTCGACTCTGGAGTGATTAGTGCCGTGGGACGGGGTGCAGTGTGTTTTCTGGAAGCGAAGGTGATTATCCAAGGGTGCCGTGTTCTCTTTGTGCTCCTGTCCGTCATAAATGATGAGCAGTGAGCTGGAGTAGAACCTGTAAGAGCTTTGCTTCCTGATGACGGAAAGCAGAGCCTTTAGCCGCAGGATGATGGGCTCCAGGAGATCCGTCCGGAGGTGGTTCCCGTTGCACAGGAACTGGCGCAAGGTTTGCCTGAATCCCTCCGGTGAGAGCTTCCTGCCGTAATACTTGTCTTTGCAGAGAAAATGGCCGGTGTCTGCTTGGTAAACCTTGAGGAGAGAGAGCAACAATCCAGATTGAGTTGTTCAGTTCTCCCAAAGCTCTGGATTTCGTCCTAATCTAAACAGCTCAGACCCGAGCTGTGGAATGGGACACGGATCCTCTGCAGCCTGGCAGGCTCTAGCAATGCTGGCAGTGCACTGCAGGCTTCTCCCTGAATCCCACCTCCTGTCTTTTCTGGAGATTTAAACTATTCAATTTAAACCACTGGTGCAGATTCTTGTTGTGCTGCTATAAATTACCCCTTGGTGAAACCCAAATAGCTGTAAGTCATAGCCGTGTCGCTAGTGATTTACAGCATTTTCCCTCTGGCTACGGCAGGAGTTCGCAGCCGTGCAGGAATACCCCAGCTTTGTACCTTCCCGCAGCAGGTAATGCAGGGGCAGCAATAACCTTCCTTTCTTAAACACAGAGGGACAAGATGTAGACAGAAATTTGTATGTGAGGCTTTGCTAACGCTGAGTAAGAAATGAGGGAGCGAATTTAGAATTAGCTCACACGCCCGTTGTGATTTAAAGGATAATCTGCTCAACAGGAGGATGTCGGAGGCCAAAAAGGGCCACGGGCTTTGACACCGAGTGTTTACGCTGCTGTGTATGTGCCTTACAACCATCACTCTCGTAATTATCCTTCAGGCGCAGCAGAACAGCGTTTTGAAACCTGCTCGAGAAGTGTGAGTGAAACAAATGTGGGGTTTCGGTTTCTGGGAGGAAGGGCAGCGATTTTGAGCAAGAGGAATCATAATATTTAGCACAAAATGAACCCCTCGCTCTCGCGGCGGCGGGATGAGACAGGCCCGCGAAGGCGTGAGCGGGGCGACAGGTGCTTGTTTGGTTTTCTTTTGCGTGCAGCAGCCACGAGCTGAGCGTCAGCGAGGAATCTGTGCGCACGTCCAGGCAGCTTCTCAGCTGGGGTGAACTGGTGCCAGCTGCTCGTGGTGGTGGCAGTGGTGCTCATGCAGCCACCACTTGTGAAAGCAGCCGTATCTCCAGGAGTCGAAGAGGGGTACGGGGAAAGGGTTACCCTTCGTGTGCCACATTCTGTACTCTCCCTAAGCACCCTCTCCTGTTGGAGGACAGGACACACAGCTGAGTGGCCAGTTCTTCCAGCCTGTGTTTCTCATCTCTCACCGTTTACACCAAAAAAAAAAGAGTCCCTTGACATTTCCAGTTTGGTTTCAGACCCTGTGTTGGGCAAACACCAAAAGGACCGAGGCTTCATCTCACCTGCATCCCGCAGATGCGAACGCCCAGAGAGGCAGAGGTGCTTTGTTCGCACTTCTTGATGTGCCGGGCTTTCTTCTCCTCCGAGGCGTCATCGCCGTGCTGCCGGGTTCCCATCTTTAAGTCCAGGATGCAGGGATAGTTGTATTTTGATACCACGTTTTCAAGCAATAGAAACTCTGAGCATGAGTTAAGGGAAACCCAATACTTTAAAATTCTAATTGAAAAAGGCCTTAAATCAGAGCAACCGCTGACGCTCTCCATAATAGCTCACAACCGTAATGAGACTTTCTGAGCCAATTTTACCAACATGTCATTGCTATAGGCCCCTTGCTGCCAATTTCAGTTAATTTACTGTAGTACAGTCCTCCCAATTAAAGCACCAACAGCTCCATTCTCTAGTGACACGATAGCCCCGGGCTGTCAATCCGACACCTTGCCTGGTGCTGTACTCACTGCGGTGGGTGTGGGGGAAGTTGTTAAACTGCATTACGCACATGACTGGTGGGTAATGGAGTGTAATAGGAAAATAAAAGGTGAGGCAGCTGCTAATTCCTATACAGTTGTGGTTTTAAATGTATGCCGAGGGGATCCTTGACTTACGCTGAATACCCTTTATGGGAAGTGGGGTTTTTTTTCTCTTTTTCTATTTTTTTTTTTACGAACGGTGGGAAAAGATAACAGAGCAACTGTATTCCGTATTTTCCCAGAGACTGGGCAGAGGAGGGATGCATACCCCTGCACTAAACCATACGTGGATTACGAGCTGTTATTTATAGCCAAAACTATGCTGGAGGGGAGCGAGGAAAAAGGATACGATGAAGTTTGTTCTCATTATGCTTGGAGGACATGCGGTTCAGGTGCTGCCTGTGACAGTGCAGTCCCCAGGGGTTGTAGCTGTTCCTTTCTGGCTGGTTTCCATTTGCATCTTCCAAAAGTGAATCTGTGCGGTACTGAAGGTCTGTCCTCAATAGCATCTTCCCCGGGCAGCTAGACAAAATGCACAAAAGAACACGTTTGGTTTAAAAGCTCCAGAAGAGAATATTCCCTCCTCTCCTCTTTTGTCAAGCCTCAAACTTGCTGAGGTGAATTTTCAGGGCCTCTCAAAGGGAACGTATTCATCGTGTCCAACCTGCGGAGATCCTTTGTTACTCCGTAAAAGTGGTTTTCAGAAAGTCAGCTATTGCTGGGTGCCAATATTTGCTTTCATTATCATTTCAGAGTGTGCTTGGCTCCTATGAGAAGCGCCACTCGTAACGCCAATGACCAGGAATCTCTATTTCTCTACCTAATGGGCACAACACAGGCAAATTGTCCCACAATAGGGATGATTCCCAGTTTAGAGGTGCTGGTTTCAAGGAAGGGAGGGAGGAAGCAATGAGGAGATTTATTCTCCTTGGAGGGTCATGCCTTAGTCTCGCTCGTCCAAAACCCATCACACCGAGGGCAGCGCTTTCGTGGTAGCAATATTGCACCCTTCAGTCACAGCCGACCTCGGTCTTTTCTGAACCAGTTTGAGACGAAACATGTCTTGCAGAAAGCTCGGGCAAGCCCTAAGGTCACGGTGCGCTTGCAAGCACGGCAATGCCTTTCGGAGACAGCTCCCCCCCGCCCCGGGACGAGGCCAGGACTGACCCACCCTCGCGTGTGCCGCTGCTGCGTGGCTGTTACCGGCGGAGGGGCGTTACGGGCTGGGTGCTTGGTGGCTGCCCTCACGGGGCCTCTCCTCCTTTCGGAGCGTGCTGCGCTCTGAGGAAACGGGTCTAAAGCAGAGTTTGAGGCGCGTATTTGAGCAACAGCATGTGAGCGAGAGCCAAATCTGCCCTGCTCCATCCCCAGGCCGGGGGAGGAGATGAACCGTGAAGCCACCAAGCTGGGCTTTGCTTTTCTTCACCTTGGCTGGGCATCGCTTTCGCTCCCTTTGCCTTAAACCAAGAGTTGTGCCACAAAACCACCCCGGTTAGACTCTACCCGAAGAGAGGCGGGAGAGGACTAGGAGGAGGTTTGCAGGGAGCGTCCCACCCGTGACAGGCCCTCACCTGTCTTTGAAGGTCTTGCTGAGCTGCGTGTGACTCCACTGGACCAGCGTGTGCTCGCTGCCGGTGCTGGTGCTGGCAGCCCACTTGCATTTGTGCCATATGGTCACCGAGGAGTCGCCGATGGTGTTATCCAGCCGGCCGCGGCTCTCCGCCTGCAGGCTGGGGCTGGCGATTAGGGTCAGGTTGCCGAGGCTGTCCTTTCTGAGGTGCACGGAAACGATGCCTGGACAAAAAGGGGGTAAAACCAAACCAGAATGAGATCAACCCGTGGGTTAACATACAGGCTTGGCCACCATCGACACCAGCCCGAGGTGTTCCAGCCTTCCTGAGAGGGCTGGCGCTTAGCAGGACAGCTGCCTCCTCGTATTTTAGTGGCCTCTCACACTGATCCCACTCTAATTTGAGGCCCAATAAACACCATTAGTCGGAGACCCTGGAAAACAGCCACAGGCTTTTCTAATGTTCCCTCCTCTCCAGGCTCAGCCTGAAACCTGCTTCCTCTGAACATCGTGTTCCTTCGTCCCTCCAGGCTCTGCTCTGCTGCAAGTGACCCAGCAAAGACCCCCCGCGTTGGACCCGGAGCTCCTGGCCTGTTTATGACAAGGGGTTTAGGTCTCACTTGTTCAGACAGGGCAAGGTTGAAAATGCTTTTCATTGGTAGGAAGCAAAGCGGGGATTGGGGACCCGGAATTTTCCAAAGACAACCGGCATGCCAACTGCTTCCTTTGACTGGAGAGCCCCCAGGAGCAAGGGCAGAGCCCTGCGCGTGGGCTGGCAGCGCTGCCTGCCTACGTGATGCCTGTACATTGTCATGGTCGTGCCCTTCCCCAAGTGCCAAGGACCGGCACCCAAACGGCTGGCGCGGGGGGGTGGATCAGACCCTCACGAGTCCCATGTTCACGCATGAGGGGGAACATGACCGTGCCTGGGGATTATTACTTTCCACCCTAAGTGCTTAGAACACCACTGTGCATTTTAGCATTGCCATTTTCCTTGACTCTTAACAAGGATCATAGGGCTCAAATGCCATTCAGCCCATCACATATTTAGCCCAGTCTCAGCCCATTCCTGACATGGGGATGGCTGCTTCTGGATCTCAAATGACAGGGCAGGAATGGGCATGGCTCGTGTACCAGACGGCTCTGACCTTTCCGGGAAAGGCTGCTCACCGCAGCCTGGCTCCTGCAGCCCTCTGTCAAGGCTGTCTGAGCCTCTCAAGGCAGCAGAAGCATTTTTAGAGCCCTTTTGGGGCTCCGAGGGGGATGCCAGCCGCATGAGTCGTACTTAGCTGCTTTCAAGACTAGCTGCAGTGAGGCAGGTCCCAAAGAGGACGGTCAGGGCTGTTGGACCAGCAGAACTTGTCACTGGAAAGAGCCCCTGGTAGCAACAAGCGGAGCTGGGTTTTATCCAGCTGTCCCCAGGGTATCCTCACTTGGTCTGTTGGGCACTGCAGTGAGATGCATTTCGGCAGCTTAACAAGGGAGCTCTGCTCTCCCAAGCAGATTTGCCAAAGCAAATAAATACGCAAACTCCCTTCTCTCCGTTTAAAGGGAGGTTATGGTAAACAGACACAGACGGCAGGATTTGCCCTCTCTGTGGGTGCGCAGAGTCCCGCCTGCCGAGTTTTGCTGACTGAGGGAGGTTTCCACCACCTGAACTGCAGGAGCCCTGTGTGTCTGCAGCCACTGGGCACCTCCATGAGCCTCGGGGTGCCCATCCCTCCCCGGGTCCTACACCCCGTATCCTCCAGTGTATTCAGATGCGCTTCCCTCCCGCCCTCCGTACAGCTCAGTCCCTTTTGCTGTAAAATCAGCATTAATCCGTACAGCGTGCCACGGCAGGCCTGGTTAAATCAGCTAATTTTGCACTGAAATGGGGGAGGAATATACACAGGCTGCTCTGCCAAGGGAGCTGGGGGGCTGGGAACCTTCATTAGGGGGTAAGTAATATTTTTAGCTGTATCTCAGTCCTTTGCTCATGGTGATGGTAAGCACAGGGAGCTCTGTCTTCCTCAGGCTCCCACGTTACCCACCTGGTCTTTCGCTGCATCCCATTCGCAAAAAATCCGTATTACAGATGACTGAGAGCAAGCGAAACTCCTATCGGCTCTATCGGATGCCTGCCTTGAATTTTCAGGGGAAGCAGGCAGGAAAAAAAAAAGCCAGCGTATCTTTTGCCTAAATCAAAGCCTTTTTATTTTTAAAAAGTCACTGCGAGGTGAACGGAGTCCTCGATTCCAAATCGAGCGCTCCGCCTCAGTTACGGCGCTCTAGCAGCCTGTAACCTTAAAAACTGTCCCAATTACATATCTGCAAGTCAATGGAGCTGTGCTGATTTACATAGTGCTGACAATCTGGCCCTAAAAACGTTATATATAGCAGGAAACTAAGAGTTCTTAAGTATCTTACATTAATATGAAAATTAATGGGGAGATTTTCAAAGGCGAGAATGAGCAGCTAAATTGCAAGTGAATGTGATCCTCTCACTCCTTCCAGTTGAAAACTCTGTCTTCAAAAACCTACGTCTCAGCCTGAAAAATACTTTTGGGCTTCCATACAGGTTTTGTGTGCGTCCTGCAGGTGACCTGCGTGCGCAAAGCACATCTATGACACACGGCGACTGACCTTCTCTTTTATTGCAACAAGAAAACATCTGTCTGTGAGCAAAGGTGGATTTAGGTACTTGTCTTTGCTGGCCTTTTAGTATCACCAAAACTGCCACCCCGCTCCTGTCCAGCACCAGCGAGGCAGCCAGCGGGTATTTACGGGTGCTGTCACCCTGCTAGTGGCATCCCAGTGATCCTCAGGAGCGTTTTGCTATGTAGCTCTGCCCTCGTGGATTTATTTTTAAATTTACAAGTGCATTTATTTACTGCCACGTGCAACAGGGGTCTGAGCAGAACTAGAGTCCAGCATCCCCTGGCAAGCTCAGCTTGGGGCAGGCAGAGATTTGCGAGGGGCTGGCGGGGGAAAGCTGGTCCCAAGGTCACCAACCTGCCTGAAATGGTGAAGCGAGCAGGAGGTATTTTTTAAGCAGCCAAGTCGGTGCTGGATTTGAATGATGACATTTGATCAGCATTGCACATCATGTCATCATTACATAATAGTCCCCCAGCCACCCCACCCCCACAGCCTAAGAATAGAGATGAGGAACATGGACACGTGTGGACGGGCAATGAAGACCTCGGGATTATTCCCACTGATGCTCATCCCCTCCATCACCCTCCTGGGAAAATGTTCCACCTCTTTAATTTGCCTGGCATTCAGGGCTGGGACAGTTATAATCAGAATAAAGCATGTGTGTGCCCAATGCCAAATTGGAGAAGAATTGCTATTTAATTACCCCTCGTCACAAAACTCACTGGGACTTGCAATAGAAAAGAAAAAAGAAGACAAAAAGGTATTAATAACCAGGCCACCCCTGGACTGATAAGCTGGGACTGCTTAACATCTTTATTAGAGAGACAGAGCAGGGCCCAGCTCTCCAGCACCAAACCCTGGCCCTGGCTAAAGAAAACTGTGTAGAGGAAGACTTGTTTTCTCTCTTAAGCATCTTTTTAATATTGTCCCATAAATCTGCAAAGGCCCCTGACTTTCTGGGAAAGGGAGAGATTGGACTGGAAGCGCATCGAAACCGCGGCTGACACTTTGAGCTCTTTTCTGTGACGCTGAAGGACCAAAAGATATTTTAAGTTTTTACGTGACAGCTGAGCTTCTCGCCTCTCGCAAAAACCCAGGGTCAGGAGCTTTATGAGCAGCACAAGTCTGGCAGTAAAAGCAGAAATAGTGAGGGAATAAGAAAGGGAGGGAGGGAGGATGTCTTAAAAAAAGACTAGGACCCCCACAGACATGGAGTGCTGCTTTTCAGTCGTGAAATTCCGCTGGGAAAGTGGTTCAGGGCAAAGAGAGATAGGGACAGGGGAGGTATCTGAAGGGGGGACCAGGCAGTGATGGGGGGCACCAAGGCAGTGGGGCAGGCAGGAGGCTCTTCCCTGCCCCAGGAAGGTCTCACTTGTGGCAGGACAGCTGCTTGGATGTGATTTTTAAGAAATTAATTGGTCTGTACCTCTGGTTTTCCAGGGACCGGTGCTCACAGGAGTGCTGGGGGGAGCAGGGCTTGGCTAAGGTGGAGCACCCAGCAAAAGTGGTGTTTGATACATCCCTGGGCTGGTTTTTTAGGCTTGGAATTTCATGGTGACCCCAAGGATCTTTCCCCCAGCTCATGCTAGTGCCAACCCTGACCCTTTCCTTGCCCTCAAGAGCTTCCCTGCCTCTGACACAAACCTTCACCTCCTCCAAAACCAAGGCCTGGAGCAGTGGGGCCATGCGTGTGGGGCAAAAGAGCCCTGAGCTCTGCTCCTGGAACAGAAAACCTTTCTTATCAGGGGGTGCTAATTCAAAGCTCTAGCAAATAAAACGCCTCAATTGGCAGATCCTGGGACTGCTGTTGTAACCAAGACTCTCCTAGTCCCTGCTTTCCCGGGGATTCAGTGCCCTCATTTGGATGCCATCAGACCAGCTTCTCTGGGGCCACGACCTGCAAAAATCCTCCAAGCAAACACCGTTGGGAAATCCCGTCCTATTCCTGCCCCTCGTTCTGTGGGGGTTTTCTCCCTTGTTTACCCTCTCTGCCCCACTCCTGTGCTGCCCAGACTCTCGGGGGATCGTGTTCACGCTCTCAGCCTCCATCTTCTCCTGCCTGTCCCCGGGAAGAACAGACCCATTTCAGCCCTATTTGACATGACAGAAGTTCCCTGGGTTACCAAGGCTGACTGTGGTAGCAACGGGGTGGGCAGAAGGGACCATCTCCTGGTGCCATCAGCCACAGCTCAACCCTTATTAGACATCAGAGACTCCCCCCAGCCGCAGAGACCCAGGAAACCCTCCCAGTCTCACAGACCTGCTCCGTGGACACTCTCACCCCAGGAGCATCCTTGCTCAGCAAAACCCACACAAGCGACGGGGCTCCACAGCTCAGACCCAGCCTGACCAAGCCAGCCGGTACCTCCCACGCTGCCACTCGCCCCACCAGCCCTTATCCCAGTCTCGGGACTAATCCTGGTGACCACACTGCCGGCCCTTAGCTCCTTCCCCAGTCTCTCCCCTTACCTTTGTACTGGGGGGTGAACTGCCTCATGGCCAAGGGCAGCGACTCGTAGAAGCTCAGCTCCTGCGAGACCAAGGGCTTGCAGACCGTGTGCTCGTCGTACTTCATCATGCTCATGTGGCCGCCCACCTGGTGGACAAAGGGCTCCAGGAGGACGGCGGTCCTGCTCTCGCTGGGGTCCAGGGGGCTCTGCCCCACCATGGTGCTGGGCGAAAGGCGGAGGGAGGGGGTCACTCCCCTCTAGTAGCAGCGAAAGGGGATCAGAAGCGGAATTTGGGACATGCGGCCAGTTCACACCCGCGCTGGGTTTTCACCGACGGTGTCTGCAAAACAGAGGGGATGGGGGAGCGTGAGAAAGGGGGACAAGGCACCGCAAAGCCACCCTCTGCCTCGGCACCCCAGCAGGGCCGGGAGCACAGCCTGGCCTCGCGCTGCCCACCGGCAGCCTGCGCCGCAGCCGGGCATCGAGGGTGCAGCTGGGTGGGGTGAGACCTTTAGGTGCCCAGGGGCCGGCAGGGAGCCCCAGCCTGAAATGCAGAGTCCAGAAGAGAGCCAGTTTAGACCCGTTGGGGGCAAGAGAAGCAGAGGGGAATGATAGAGAAGAGCTATCAAGTGAATGTGATGGCCTTGTCAAAGGAGGCGGATCAGGGCATTCCTTGGATCGGTACTGCCAGGTTATTAATATGCTGTATTAATGACACCCCTTGCTGTGGAACAGCCCCAGTTTGCCTTACGAGACGGCGTTAATGATGGTCTTAGTCTTTCCCAAGCTAGGACATTCCTTGCAAAGGAGGTTTATTAATAAAGCCTCTGCAAGCTCACGTCCCTGGGCAGTCCCTTGCCTCTTTAGCACTGCTGATGGGGTTAGCAACATTTTCTGCACCTTCTAAAGAAACCTCAGTTTGGGACATTCCCTGTCACTTAACACCAGAGCATTAGCGGGAGCGTTCCCTCCACCGTGCTAACGCGGGCATGAGGACGTGTCAAACCAGCACCGAGGCGGTTTGCACCCAAGCACAGGCTCCTCCGAGCTCTCCAGCCCTGCCCTCTGCTACAGCCCAAAGGACCATCCAGCAACAGATCCGTTCCTGATTCTAGCCCCCAAGAGAAATTCCTCCTTGATTTTGACAGCGACGAGTCCTGGCTCTAAAACAGCAAGGTAGGACAAGTACAGACGTGGACCACATCTGTCCGGTGCTGCTTTGGTTTCTCTTGCAAGCACCCAGCAACACCCACTCCTTCACTTCATTCTTTGCAAGAAGCCCATGGAGGCTCTTGCTGTGATGGGACTCCCATAGCCACGGAGGAAGACAAAAGGCAGCTGAGCTAATACATACACTGCAGAAGCAGTCTGGCTTCATCCCATCGAGGCAGTAAAATCAGAGGAAGGCACTCCAGACCCCAAACTAAAAGGGAAGAAGGGAAAAAACCCACCTGATCCTCTTGAAGTCTGGTCCTGCAGCCCTCACAGAGGGGTGTGCAGAGCCCTGGTTTGCCTGCCCCTGTTAGCACGGGTGACTTTCTCCTTGTTCCTCCAGCTTCAGCATAGCTTGGGGAGTTTTGCATCCTATTTTTGCTAGCAAAACCCCAATGCAGTAGATAATAATGTCTGTGGAAGATCCATTTCTCTCTAGCAAAGCCTCCAGGATGTGTTGCTGGATGAGTGACACCACCTCTGCCAAGCCCAAGCCTTGCTGGGACCGGGGCAGCACCATCACCCCCTCCTTACCCAGGAGACACCGAAGAGCAGAGGGATGGTGGTACCTCCCTGCTCACACCAGGAGTAAACCTGGGGTTTCCCATCACCAGCAGCCAGGCAGCTCCCGGGGCTCTGCAAGGAGGGCAGGCTCAGCCTCTCCTCCAGAGCCAGCGCTTACGGCCCAACCTGGGAGCTTTAACCACTAAACCGCAGCGTATTCCTCATCCTGCAACACAGAGCCAAAGCTCTGCTGCTGAAATTTCCCCTTCACCCTCCTCCTGCTGCAATTAAACCACCGAGCAAACGAGCACTCGGCGCAGGTGCCCATTTTGTTTTTCACCTGGAGGAGTGGGATGAAGTGGGTTGAAGGCAGAGAAGAAACACTCTTACCTCCAGAACACACGGGGCTGCTCCTTTACCTTCCCCCAAGGTGGGGGTTTTTTTTCCTTCCCCCCCATTTTCCTATTCCTGTGGAGAGGATTTTCTACTCTACAATTACCAGCCCGCACCAGCGAAGGAACAAAGCCAGGCCACTTAGACAAGTGCCTTTCAGCCGGGGAAGAAAGCCGCTCTTCAGAGCTTTTCTAGAAGTTAATAAAAGCATTTAGCGTTTTGTTAAGTTGCGGCAACTTTTGAAGAGGATTTCTCCCTTGAAAGCTGTGGGTTTGTTGTGGGTTCGGGTTTTTCTGCCCCCGCCTCCTTAAGAAAAAAAAAGGAGAAAAGCAAAAAGCAAGTGGATTTGTCTTAACACCTCTTTGGAGCAGAGAGAGCAACATGATTTCAGTCCAGTATTTATTGCTTCAGAGACAGTCCAAGGCTGAAACTCAGCTGACAGAACACACTCGCAATTCTGGCAACCTTGGCGTTGTGAAGAGAGTTGCGGGGGGAAAGGCCCACCATTTGATACAGCTCTTGTTGTTTTCTCTTAAGCAAAACTCGGAGAAAGATTTGCAGTAGGGGAAAGGGGCTCTTTTCATTTAGTTTTTGTTCTGAAGCAGCTCGTCCATTCGGAGCAGCTGAATGTTGCTGCACTTACTGCGCTGCTCTGAGCTCCTCTGAAACAAGACACTCTCGAAATAAATCACGTCTGCTGGCTCAAGTTATCGCGAATGCTAAAAGATATTTACGCCACTAAAATTACATGGAATTACAGATAGAAATGTGTCCTCAAAACCAAAACCAGAAGCCTTCACTATTTTGCCCCTAGCTAAAAAAAACCCCAAACCAACAAACAACCCTGGCACTGCAGATGAAGAGCCAGAAAATATTGGGGAAGGAAAATAAGAAAACCCCCCTCTCCAGAAAAAAAAAAAAAAAACAACAACAAAACCAAGGTACTTTAAAGCTCCTGCATCTCCGCGGTGACTCTCAGAACATACCACCTTCCCTTCCAGCATCGCAGCAGCATCTGGCCTGAGACAGGCTTTTGCGTTTCTAACAGTCACGTCTGTGTAACGAGGACCTGCCAGGCTGGTCTCTAACCTTTAATTAGTGCCTACTCCATCCCCATCCCAAGCAGAACTCTGCCATGGGGGGGGGGCAAAGCGCAGACAGCCCAGCCCTAGGAGGAAGCCCGTGCCTTGTAAACAGCTGGGGTCCTCTTGGCAGAAAGACTTTGGAATGTGAAAAAGCAAAATGACTTTAAAAACAAGTGCTCCGTCAGAGCAGGATCCCTGTCTTGCGTATCGTGGTCAGCACCTTCCCCTTGGGGGGACCCAGCTCCCCAAAGCATCCCAAAGCGCCCTGCTGCAAAGTCGGGTTTCAAGCGCTGCAGAGGGCTGCTAATTTTTTTTTTTTTTTTTTTTCTTCATTAAAAGGCAAGACAGGACCATAGCTGTTAATTTGAAGAGATCTCCATGTCCGTAGCTGACCTGAAATCAAAGCCAGCTCCTGCACCGAGCCCCAGCCCAGCCCAAGCGCAAGGTGCGGGCGAAACCCAGTTGCCCCATTTCCCTTTGGTCTTTGGCCTCGTGCCTCCAAGCTCCCCAACGCCTTGGCCACAGGGAAAATCCTACCGGTTCCAGCTCAGCGCCCCTCCCGGCAGGGCTTGAAGCAGACGCGGGCTGTTCACACCAGCAGACAAGCGGCTGAATCCCTCAATGAACCTTCAAATCTGCCTTTCCTGCTCTTCCCTTGACTACAGCCAAAGGCTGAAATAGTTGCAGGGCAGCACCATGCCGGGAGAGCAAAGCTCAGCTCTCTGCAAGCAACCCGGCTCTAAGCATCCTGCCATAAATCCTGACGTGCAGAAATCCTCTGCTCTTTTATCTTGTGTTTCCTTTCCCGAAAGAAAATGATGTCTGCAAAGTTGATGACTGGTCCCCACATCCCTCACGGAGACGATGCAAGGATTCTGTTTGCTGCACCGAAGGATTTATTGGGCAGCTTTGCGGGAAGCATTAGGATCGATGGGGAGGGGTGGGAGTCGCGTTATCTGGGGCTGGCGTGGGGCAGCAATGGGGCTGGCGAGGGCTGGGCTTCCCAGCAGGACACGGGGATGTGCCTTTGGACCACAGTAGCGAGCCTGGGGCTGCCAGCAGTGCCGTGGGACAGGGGGACATAGTGCCACCACCTACCTGCCTAATTTCTGCCTTTCACGCCCCCAAACACCAGCTGCCCCTCTGCTGACCGGCCCGGTGCTTTCCAGCAATGCCACAAGTGTGACAAAGAACTGAAAGCCTCCAGGCTCGTTTTTGGCAGACCCCGGGGTTTGCACCACCCCCGTGCCCCGGGTGCCGGCTGTCCCCCCTCGCTCCCATCCCTTCCCACAAGCCGTGGCCGCGCTCGGAGCCTCTCCAAAATCAAGCGCTTGTTCACCCTGCCCTGGAAGGCGGATGGCGCCGATGCCGAAGCCACCCTGGACCTCACCTGCTGGGTTTCTGCGGCTGCTCTGGGCTCGGTGGTGAGCGGGGCCTTGGGGTGCTGCCCGGGCTGGGTTTCTGGCTGCTTCTCGGCGTGGCTCGAGTGTGAGAAATGAGGGAGCGGGGGGAGCCCGTGGACATTTGGGCCATCACCTGACTGCTGCCGTCGGTGCTGGCAGGCGCCTGGTATGTCCAGCTGACAGCTGAGCTTTAAAGGGGGGAAGAGACACCCTTGGGTGTTAAAGGAAAACAAAGCCACGTGCGCAAGAGGGTTAAGGATGGAGGGAGACGGCACCAGTCGTGCGTTAAGCTTTCCAGAAAGCGTGGCCACGCTCCCGCTCCCTTGTGCAATCGTCTCTCCAGGAAAACAACTGTTGCTTTTTTTTTTCTGGTCTGTTTTCCACTGCACCACCTGCAGAAGCCCCCCTGGGCGAGCTCCACCAGTGTTTATCACCTCCCTGCGGGACAGGGCAGGGGACTGGCGGTGGGAGCAGGACGGACACCGGCTCCCCGGAGCTCCCAGCAGTTTTCGGCTGTTTGCTCCCTGTGCGGGGGGAACGTGCTGGGGCGACGCAGGGGAGGGCAGAGGGGCGGCCATCGCTGGAGGGAGGGGGTAAGAGGGGCTGGGATGCTGCCGGACA